TTGCAGCGGGTTAGACTAGATGAGCTTCGGGAGTCCCTTCCAACTCCACAATTATGCTGTGATTCTATGCACATTGTTTCTTTTGTGCTATTGTCATAGTCGTCACCTTCTCTTCTGCTATTATAACAACTTCCACATACAGTATAAAGCACAATCTTGGAAGAGGCTCCACTGATTTGGGTTGGATTGTTTGGCAAATGCTCAGATCTTTTCCACTGATATAAAGGGTTTATAAATAATAATAATAATTTTATTATTTATACTCTGCCCATCTGGCTGGGTTTCCCCAGCCACTGTGGGCGGCTCCCAGCAAAATAGTAAAAACACAATAAAACATCAACCGTTGAAAACTTCCCTGTACAGGGCTGCCTTCAGGTGTCTTCTAAAAGTCAGGTAGTTGTTTATTTCCTTGACATCTGACAGGAGGGTGTTCCACAGGGCGGGCGCCACCACCGAGAAGGCCCTCTGCCTGGTTCCCTGTAACTTGGCTTCTCACAGTGAGGGGACTGCCAGAAGGTCCTCGGAGCTGGACCTCAGTGTCCGGGCAGAACGATGGGGGGGGGGAGACGCTCCTTCAGGTCTACTGGACCAAGGCCATTTAGGGCTTTCAAGGTCAGCACCAGCACTTTGAATTGTGCTCAGAAATGCACTGGGAGCCAATGTAGGTCTTTCAAGACCGGTGTTATGTGGTCTCGGCGGCCGCTCCCAGTCACGTGTCTAGCTGCCACATTCTGGATTAGTTGTAGTTTCCGGTTCACCTTCAAAGGTAGCCCCACGTAGAGCGCATTGCAGTAGTCCAAGCGGGAGATAACCAGAGCATGCACCACTCTGGCGAGACAGTCCGCGGGCAGGGAGGGTCTCAGCATGTGTACCAGGTGGAGCTGGCAGACAGCTGCCCTGGACCCAGAATTGACCTGCACCTCCATGGACAGCTGTGAATCCAGAATGACTCCCAGGCTGCGCACCTGGTCCTTCAGGGGCACAGTTGCCCCATTCAAGACCAGGGAGTCCTCCACACCTGCCTGCCTCCTGTCCCCCAAAAACAATACTTCTGTCTTGTCAGGATTCAGCCTCCATCTGTTAGCCATCATCCATCCTCTAACCACCTCCAGACACTCACACAGGACATTCACCACCTTCACTGGTTGTGATTTAAAAGAGAGATAGAGCTTCATCCCAACTGGACTGAGCTCAGAGAGTGAGATCACAAATACGAGAGCCATTGATTGCATTATTTGATATTGGTTTGCAATGTGCTTTTAATGCTGAGCTTGTGCGAAAACTATTTCCAGTCTGAATGGGATATGTTCAGGTTTTAAAATGTGGCCAGTCAGTATATAAGAACCGAGCTCAGTTTTAGGGTCTTGCTTATAAATGCACCAGCAGCCATATACCTGGCATTGCTTGGGAAGTCTAAGAAACAAAAAAAAAAACAGGGAGTTTTGAAATTTGTGGTTAAGATCAGCACAGTTTTGAAAGGTTCAGTCTGCTGTCTTGATGCCAAGTGGCATCCAATTCTACCCAAGCAGATAAAAACCCGCTTCTTAATCTCTGGAGGCATGGAATTGAAGAGTTGGAAGGCGCCCCAGTGATCATCTAGTCCAACCCCCTGCAATCAAGGAATCTTACTTTTGTTGGCATCTGTCTGTCTCGAGAGACAATTGAAGGGTGCGCCATCAGGGGGTGAAGTCAAACAATTAGAGAATTACAACGCCTGCTGTGGATGTAGAGACCGATACAGGAGAGACATGTTTTGTTGCAGTTGTGGCAGATAAAGGGGTCAGTAGGCAGTAATCACAGCTCCAAAATGCCTGGACGATGGCCATGCCCGCTCCATTGGCAAGCCTCCAACGAAGGAAAGTCCACCGTCTTCCCAGGTGGTCTGTTCCATGGTTGAACAGCTCTTACCGTCATGCAAAATTTGGTTGTGATATCTTAAGAGGTGCCCATCTGCCTTGCAAACAAACTTTCCAAAATACATAATAGATTAGCATGCACGGAGACAGCCGTGTCACAGCAAAGAGTTGGACAGGCGTAGGGTATCTGAATATGGTTTTCCCAGCAGTGATGTATGCAAGTGAGAGCTGGACCATAAAGAAGGCTGATTGCTGAAGTATTGATGCTTTTGAATTCTGGTGCTGGAGGAGACTCTTGAGAGTCCCATGGACTGCAAGAAGATCAAACCTCTCCATTCTGAAGGAAATCAGCCCTGAGTGCTCACTGGAAGGACAGATCCTGAAGCTGAGGCTCCAAGACTTTGGCCACCTCATGAGAAGAGAAGACTCCCTGGAAAAGACCCTGATGTTGGGAAAGATGGAGGGCACAAGGAGAAGGGGACGACAGAGGATGAGATGGTGGGACAGTGTTCTTGAAGCTACCAGCATGAGTTTGACAAACTGCGGGAGGCAGTGGAAGACAGGAGTGCCTGGCGTGTTCTGGTCCAGGGGGTCACAAAGAGTTGGGCACGACTAAATGACTAAACAACATGGCCTTTTAAATGTGTGGGGAGGATGTGTTAGTTTCTTTTAATGCATGTTGCATTTTTATTTTGCAAACTGCCCTGTGATCTTGAGATGAAGGGTGCCATATGCTTTTAAAAACAGGGTCCACCTTCTATCCCTACGAGGTGCTGCTCCTAGGAGGTGCCACCCGCTGTCTCTCAAGGCCTGAGTTCCCAGAATCCTCTTCACTTTCCATGCACATGAATTAACCGTTGCAGCTACAATGCCACAAACGTGCGTGCTTCATTCATTTTCAGGAATGCACCTGCCCAGAGGTGCCTGCAGTTGCAGTGCTTGGCCAAAAGGAGGCACCAGTCAAATGTGTGGTTGAATTCGGGGGGGGGGGTAGAAGCTTCTGTTTCTATGAGTGGGGTGCATTCATTGGTGACACCTTAATTCGTCCAGGGCCTGGATGTCTCCAGGTTGCGATATTTGGCAGTGCCTGGCTCAACGGGCAGCCAAGCTCCCGCACTGCGGTGTGCAGAACCTGGCCTGGCATACGTCCCCCATCCCCTGGCAGTTTGCCCCCGTCACATGGCAGCCATGCCTTCAGCAGAGACGTCTGGCGTATTTGTTTCAGCCTGGGGGAGTAGTGGCAGGAGATGGCTGCACCTGTTGGACTTCTGCCTGCCGTGCGCTGAGAGAAGGGAGCATGAAGGAGCGTCTCCACCTCCATCGTTCTGCCCGGACACTGAGGTCCAGTGCCGAGGGCCTTCTGGCCGTTCCCTCCCTGCAAGAAGCCAAGTTACAGGGAACCAGGCGGAGGGCCTTCTTGGTAGTGGCACCCGCCCTGTGGAACTCCCTCCCACCAGATGTCAAAGAGAAAAACAACTCCCAGACTTTTAGAATACTTTTAGAAGGCAGCCCTGTTTAGGGAAGCTTTTAATGTTTAATAGGTTATTGTATTTTAGTGTTCTGTTGGAAGCTGCCCACAGTGGCTGGGGAAACCCAGCCAGATGGGCGGGGTATAAATAAATTATTATTATTATTATTATTATTATTATTATTATTATTATTATTATTATTACCTTAACCTCCGCTTTGCCCGTGTGAACTGGGGCTGAGATTCTGTTCCCGAGGGACAGTGCTTCCTGCAGTTGGCAGAACAAGCCAACAGGTGGCATCCTTTTATCAATTCTGCCCAGGGACGATATTTGGAGGGTCGGGTTTTGATGGGGTCAGTGACATAATCTGAGGAGCCTTGCCCTTGCCCTTGAGGGTCTGGACTGTGCCTTCTCCAAGAGAGTAAGGCCCCAATGCCCCCTCCCACAAAAAAAGAACCTTGCTGTGCCATTACTAGACAGAAAATCAACCAAGGAAGCTTTCATCTTCCCCATCCATCATCCTTTTCCTACAGTGGTTCTCCAAGGGTGTGGCAGGAGAGGGTTGCAAGCGCAGAGGGAAATTTCAAGGACGATCAAAGGAACAACCAAACATTTCAGTGTTGTATAGTTTAGTAGCTATTTTATTTTATTTGCAGAATATGGATAGCTATCTTTTCCAAAGGAGAGCAAAAGAATCAAGTGAAACTGGGGACCAGCCTAGTTGTGTTTTCCAACATATTTCATATCAGTTAAGAAATTCAGTGTGGCATGAGCAATTTTTATCTTATTTTTTATAATTTTTATTAAATTTTCTGTTTTACAATTTAGAATACTCGTTTAAACACCTTTAAAATATCAGTGACTTCCCCCCTTCTCTTTCCATGGTTCATTTTGCATATCATAAATCCCTGCATATTTTACACAAATTATACCATTCAGTATTCCTTTATTACATCCATCAGAACTTTTTTACACTGTTGAATTTATCTTAACGCTGCCCACGTTTTCAAGTGCACACAGTTCCCCCCATGTATTCAATAAACGTTTTCCAGTCTTCTCTAAACGTCATGTTCTTCTTGCTCTCTTATTCTATATGTTAAGTCCGTAATCTGCGCATTTTCCGTCAGCTTAAGTTGCCAATTTTCTTCAGTTAGGACCTTGCTCGTTTTCCATTTGGGGACTAACGAAACACAGGCCGCAGTAGTGGCATACATAAATAACGTTGATGAGCAATTTTTTATCTGCGTGCCCCAGAAGAAAAAAAATTTGAGAATCACTGTATTACTATGACACTTCAATAAAACCATGCACAATAAATATTTATTTGTTCATTCACAATAAATATTTATTTGTTCATTCATTTAAAAAACCCCAGATTTCTTTATTTCTTTATTGTGTTTCTACCCCATCGTCCAAGGAGCTCAAGGAGGTATTGGGTCTCTCTCCACCTCCTCATTCAGTCCCAACAACAACCCTACGAGGTAGGCTAGGCGGAAAAGCTTTGACTGGCCCAAGGTCCGGCAGGCACTAGGTTGGCGAAGGCTGGCATAGATATCCCCATATCCTGCTCTCCCTTTCATTTAGGCTTGTGGGGGGCTGGTGGCAGGGAAGGGGGCTTCTGGCTGGAGTTTCCGCCTCTCCTGACCGGCTTCTCCTTTCCGTCTCTCCCTCGCAGTGGCGTTGGGCTGGCTCGGGCCCATTTCGAGAAGCAGCCCCCGTCCAACCTCAGGAAATCCAACTTTTTCCACTTCGTCTTGGCCATGTACGACCGGCACGGCCAGCCTGTGGAGATCGAGAGGACGTCTTTCATCGACTTCGTGGAGAAGGACAGGGTATGGAGCCAATCGGGTTGCTCGGTCGTTTCTCTCCTCCCACCCACCCCCCACAAAAAAAAACAACCCTCAAGAGGTCAGATTTGAGGCATTATATCCACATGGCGGCAACCATGGAATGGACTCCAACTACAATTCTGTTATTCCCTTGGAAGGTTGTGGGCTCTCCTTCCTTGGAGGTTTTTAAGCAGACGGCCATCTGTCATGGATGCTTCAGCTGAGATTCCTGCATTGCAGGGGGCTGGACTAGTTGACCCTCGGGGTCCCTTTCAACTCTACAGTTCTATGATTCTGTGAACTGTGTCCCCACTCATGCTCACCTCCGCCATACAATGGAAGTTGACTTCTGGGGCCTTTCCAGAAACCAAGATGGTGGCCCCCAGGGCCATGGGTTCAACGCCATTGGATGGGGCGCTGTGGCTCCAGACCTGGATAGAGTGCCTGGATATAATGTGGGGACAGCTGTAGGGCTAAGGACTTTTAAGTGGGAATTTCAGCTTTCACAGTCCCTGGTTCAAAATCAGCAAGTCTTCTGTTTGAACCTCACCCCTGCTCTGGTGATAGCCTGGCTGTCTTAGTCTCGCTGCTCACCCCTATGCAATTTGGGAATAACAGTACTACTACTACTACTAATAATAATAATTTATTACTTATACCCCACCCATCTGGCCGGGCCTCCCCAGCCACTCTCGGCCGCTCCTAACAGAATATTTAAAACCACAATAAAACATCAAACATCAAAAACGTCCCTAAACATTAAAATGGGACGCGGGTGGCGCTGTGGGTTAAACCACAGAGCCTAGGGCTTGCCGATCAGAAGGTCGGCGGTTCAAATCCCCACGATGGGTTGAGGTCCCGTTGCTCGATCCCTGCTCCTGCCAACCTAGCAGTCGAAAGCACGTCAAAGTGCAAGTAGATAAATAGGTACTGCTCCGGCGGGAAGGTAAACGGCATTTCCGCGCGCTGCTCTGGTTCGCCAGAAGCGGCTTAGTCATGCTGGCCACATGACCTGGAAGCCGTACACCGGCTCCCTTGGCCAGTAAAACGAGGTGAGCGCCGCAACCTCAGAGTTGTCTGTGACTGGACCTTTCAAACATTAAAAACTTTCCAACCCACCTTTCAGGGTTATTGTGAAGGACTCCTGAGATAATGTGTTCAAACTGCTTTGTATATTCTCAAAAATCAACTTCTTCTGGTGGTGAGACGGATGTAAGACTAAATTGGTTTTTTCTTTATTTCTTCAAATATTTCATAGAATTGGAGAATTGTAGAGTTGGAAGGGAACACGAGGGTCATCTAGTCCAACCCCCTGCAATGCATGAATCTTTCCCCCCAACGTGGGTTTCAAACCCACAACCCTGAGATTAAGAGTCTCGTGTTCTACCAACTGAGCTTATCCTAGCATTGATTCATCATATTTTGATCCTGCCTTTTCTCCACGGCACCTTTTGTTGTTTGCCTCCAAACTTTATCCTCACATCGATCCTGTGATGTTGGTTAGGCAAAAAGTCAGGGGTCTCACGGCTGGCAGATGATTCGAAACTGGGTCTCGCTACTGCAAGATGGCAGAGAGTCTTAAGCTACGGCGTGTGTTTTCAAAATAATATTTTATCTTTTTCTTTCAGGAGCAGACAGGAGAGAAAACCAACAATGGCATCCACTACCGGTTACAGCTTTTGTACAGTAACGGTAAGGAGTGTTATATAATAATAATAATTTATTATTTATTCCCGGCCCATCTGGCTGGGCTTCCCCAGCCACTCTGGGTGGCTTCCCAAAAAAATATTAAAATACTGTAATACATCAAACATTAAAAGCTTCACTAAACAGGGCTGCCTTCAGATGTCTTCTAAAAGTCTGGTAGTTGTTGGTCTCTTTGACATCTGGTGGGAGGGCGTTCCACAGGGTGGGTGCCACTACCGAGAAGGCCCTCTGCCTGGTTCCCTGTAACTTGGCTTCTCGCCATGAGGGAACCGACAGAAGGCCCTTGGCACTGGACCTCAGTGTCTGGGTAGAACGATGGGGGTGGAGACGCTCCTTGAGATATACTGGACCAAGGCCATTTAGGGCTTTCAAGGTCAGCACCAACACTTTGAATTGTGCTCAGAAACGTACTGGGAGCCAATGAAGATCTTTCAGGACCAGTGTTATATGGTCTTGGCGGCCGCCCCCAGTCCCCAGTCTAGGTGCCGCATTCTGGATTAGTTGTAGTTTCCGGGTCACATTCAAAGGTAGCCCCACATAGAGCACATTGCAGTAGTCCAAGAGGGAGATAACCAGAGCATGCACCACTCTGGTGAGACAGTCTATAGGCAGGAAGGGTCTCAGCCTGCGTACCAGACAGAGCTGGGAGACAGCTGCCCTGGACACAGATTTGACTTGTGCCTCCATGGACTGCTGCGAGTCCAAAATGACTTAGCGTTGCTGGCTAATTCGCTATGTTTGCATGGTGTTTTTTCAGGGGGACCCAGAAAGCAGATGACTTAAAACAATTAAAACTAGCCTCCTCTGCTTGATGCCCTGCATATGTTTCAAAACACAATTCCCAATATTATTATTACCTGCGCTTCACCCTAAGATCCCAGGGCGTGTGGTGGCAATTAAAAAACACCATTGATAATAAAGCACAATATATTTTTTTTAATGCATAAAAAAATCAGTGTAAAACAACTTGAAATTTCATAACTGATTTCAAAAAGCTGCATCTTCCAGAAGCTATGCAATGAAGCTGCCAGGCCCACTTCTGTGGGGAGTTCCTCAGATTAGGGGCCACCACAGAAAGACCCTCTTCCCCCACCCCCAGGTCACCACTACCACCCCGAACCTCTGGGGGCAGAGGAACTACTAAGAGCTCCCCCTGCCGATCTTAGTACCCGAGAGGGGATTTAGGAAAGGAAAGAGGCGTCTCTCGGGTATTTGGGGCCTCAGTTGTTTAGCCTCTTGAATTGGACCCAGGAATCATCCCTGACTACAACTCCCATCATGCAGAGCGTGGAGACGTAGGCAGGCAAAAAAGCACCCCTCTTTGCTCCAACAAAGTCGCTGCATCCATTCACTGCACTAACCAGGGGTCCTCCAAGTGGCTTGGACTACAATACCCATCAGCCATCATGCGAGCTCCAAGTTTAGGCTTTTCAGAGTCTCTTAGGTCCCAATTCAAGGCTCAGCCCTCACCGGCTCACATATCATTAGAAAAGAATCATGGTTAGATAACCATCATTGCAGACAGATGCAAATAGTTTAGTTTTATTTCATTCTCAGTAGTAGCGCCTGCCCTGTGGAACGCCCTCCCATCAGATGTCAAGGAAATAAGCAGCTATCTTATTTTTAAAAGACATCTGAAGGCAGCCCTGTTTAGGGAAGTTTTTAATGTTTGATGCTGTATTGTTTTTAACACTCGATTGGCAGCTGCCCAGAGTGGCTGGGGAAACTCAGCCAGATGGACAGGGTATTATTATTATTATTATTATTATTATTATTATTATTATTATTATTATTATTTCATACCTTTTCTCCCTCTAAGGAGCTCAAGGCAGTTGTCCTCTCTCCTCATTGAACCCCAGAAACAACCCTGTGAGCATAGCTGTCAACTTTTCCCTTTTCTTGCGAGGAATCCTATTTTCGGAATAAGGGAATTTCCCTTAAAAAAAGGGAAACGTTGGCAGCTAGGCCTGTGAGGTAGATGAGGGGCAGCGGCTGGACCCAAGGGCTCCCAGTGAGCTCCCTTCATGGCCGAGCGGGGATTTGAACCCAGGTCCTCGTCCGACACTCTAACCGCTGCACCACACCAGAGTTGTCGGCCGGTTGTGCCGAACTTCGCCACCTCTTCTCTCTCCCCCCCCCCAATTTTGGGACTGGCATTGTCCCTGTGCTACCATTTTGAAAGCAGAGGGCCTCTGTGATTTTCAGCCAGGGGATAGGAAGTTCCAGAGCAGAAGAGACAAACGTTCCTCTCGCTTTTCTTCCTCGCAGGACTTCGGACGGAGCAGGACCTCTATGTGCGGTTGATCGACTCCATGTCCAAGCAGGTAACAGCCTCCAGTGAAAGTGTGGGAGGGTGTCGGGGGGGGGGTACGAGAGCCATCTTGGAATATCTCGTGGAAGATGCAACAAGCTTGTTTTCTCCTGCCCTGGAGGGTAGGACTCGAACCCATGGCTTCAAGTTACAAGAAAGGAGATTCCAACTAAGCCTCAGGAAGGAATTTCTGACAGCAAGAGCTGTTCGACAGTGGAAGGGACTCCCTTTGGGAGGTGGTGGACTCTCCTTCCATGGAGGTTTTTAAGCAGAGGTTGGGTGGCCGTCTGTCATGGATGCTTGAGCTGAGATTCCTGCATTGCAGGGGGTTGGACTAGATGACCCTTGGGGTCCCTTCCAGCTCTACAGTTCTATGATTCAGAAGGAAGGAAGGAGAGGAAGAGAGAGAGAGAGAGAGAGAGAGAGAGAGAGGGAGAGAAGGAGAGAAAGAAAGAAAGAAAGATGAGAGAGAGAGAGAAGAGAGAGAGAGAGAGAGAGAGAGAAGGAGGGAGGGAAGGAAGGAGGGAGGGAGGGATGATAGATGGTAGATGATAGATAGATGATAGATAGATAGATAGATAGATAGATAGATAGATAGATAGAAGAGGGAGGGGAGGAAAGGAAGGAAGGAAGGAAGGAAGGAAGGAAGGAAGGAAGGAAGGAAGGAAGGAAGGAAGGAAGGATAGATTGATGATAGATGATGATAGATAGATAGATAGATAGATAGATAGATAGATAGATAGGGAGGAAGGGAAAGAAATAAAAAGAAAGAAAGCTTGAGGAAGATGTGATAGGTGGATCTCAGTTTTGTCCCAGGAACAAAATCAGCCTCAAAGTTGGTTAGCTTCCAGCCCTCCCCTCCCGAGGGGGAGCCCAAGGGAGGTAAATCCCAAACTGGGAGATGCTTCATTAAGCTTCACCATCATTAATCAACACCATTAGGCGGGGGAGGCTTTGTTAACTCTGGTGCTGATGGGCTGGGAGCCTCTGCTGCTTAGCACCTGCTTAGCACACGAAAACACACCCAGGGCTCTCTGCTGAGGCCAAACAGAGGAGGAGGAGGAGGAGGAAGCCCAGACTTGCTCCTGCTTTAGGAAGAGGCCGCGTGCAGCTCCCAGCATTCCCACCCACATGGCGCATGGCCAGGGAGTTGTAGCGCCAGCTACATCTGCAGGACACCATCCTGGCTGCCCCTTGGCTGGCATGCTGAGCTTTTGCACGTAGGACCAAGTGTGTAGTCCTTATGGTTGTGGGTTCGGTGACGGCAAGGAACTCTGGGCCTGAGTCAGGTAAACTGCCATGCCAGTGGGAGCAGGTGCAGGGGGGCTTCACCTCCTTCCCCCCTCTCTAAATCTGCTTGGGGGGGTCCAGGGAGAACCCCCAGAATAGCACAAGGGGTGGGGAGGAGAGGGGAGAACCTTCCACCTGGCAAGATAGATGCTTGCATCAATGGAACCATCTCCTTAGCGTGGCACTGAAGTCTACCTTCAGAAGCCAAAGGAGCTTCTGGATCATCAGACTTCCACAGAGCAGAGATGGGGCCTTGTCTTTTTCCTTGCTGTGCCCAAAATGCGTGCAGAGGTTCCACAAGTGGCAGAGCTTCATTTTTGTTCTTCTGCAGCTATCATGGTTGCCATCGTAACCCAAGGACATAAGAAGAGCCTGCTGTCAGGTCAACGTCCCCTCTAGTCAGGCATTTGTTGTTGTTGAGTCGTTTAGTCGTGTCCGACTCTTTGTGACCCCCTGGACCAGAGTACGCCAGGCACTCCTGTCTTCCACTGCCTCCCGCAGTTTGGTCAAACTCATGCTGGTAGCTTCGAGAACACTGCCCCACCATCTCATCCTCTGTCATCCCCTTCTCCTTCTGCCCTCCATCTTTCCCAACATCAGGGTCTTTTCCAGGGAGTCTTCTCTTCTCATGAGGTGGCCAAAGTATTGGAGCCTCAGCTTCAGGATCTGTCCTTCCAGTGAGCACTCAGGGCTGATTTCCTTCAGAATGGAGAGGTTTGATCTTCTTGCAGTCCATGGGACTCTCAAGAGTCTCCTCCAGCATCAGAATTCAAAAGCATCAATTCTTCAGCGATCAGCCTTCTTTATGGTCCAGCTCTCACTTCCATACATCACTGCTGGGAAGACCATAGCTTTAACTATACGGACCTTTGTTGGCAAGGTGATGTCTCTGCTTTTTAAGATGCTGTCTAGGTTTGTCATTGCTTTTCTCCCAAGAAGCAGGCGTCTTTTAATTTCGTGACTGCTGTCACCATCTGCAGTGATCATGGAGCCCAAGAAAGTCAAATTTTTCACTGCCTCCATTTCTTCCCCTTCTATTTGCCAGGAGGTGATGGGCCCAGTGACCATGATCTTCATTTTTTGGATGTTGAGCTTCAGACCATATTTTGCACTCACCTCTTTCACCCTCATTAAAAGGTTCTTTAATTCCTCCTCACTTTCTGCCATCAAGGTGGTGTCATCTGCATATCTGAGGTTGTTGATATTTCTTCCGGCAATCTTAATTCCAGCTTGGGATTCATCCAGCCCAGCCTTTCGCAAGATGAATTCTGCATGTAAGTTAAATAAGGAGGGAGACAATATACAGCCTTGCCGTACTCCTTTCCCAATTTTGAACCAATCAGTTGTTCCATATCCAATTCTAACTGTAGCTTCTTGTCCCACATAGAGATTTCTCAGGAGACAGATGAGGTGATCAGGCACCTGCTCTCATAATGGCCAACGAGATCCCTCAGCGGGAAGCCCAAGAGCAGGATTCAAACACAAGAGCCCTCTGCTATCTGTGGATACACAGCATGGCCCTCTTGGCTAGTAGCCACTCATAGCCCTCTCCTCCTCCATGAATTTTCTCCTATCCTCTTTTAAAGCTATCCAAGTTGGTGGCCATCGCTGCCTCCTGTGGCAGAGAGTTCCACAGTCTAACAACAGCATCAAGGAGGACTTTCTTTTATCTATCCTGAATCTCCCTCGAATGTCCACAAGTTCTAGTTAGGAGAGAGGGAGAAAAGCTTTTCTCTGTGTACTTTTTCCATGGCAGGCAACTTTTTCATAATTAGCATCGTCATTGGTTTATTCATCGCCTTCTAAACCACCGTCCCATGAGGATTTGCACATAAGATAATTAAAGGGGGGGGGAGGAATTGAACACAAGGCTAAAAAGTTATGCCTTCTGCCCTTGGCCCATGAAAAGAGCCGGGAGTGCCGAAGCATCTGGGTGTGGAGTTTTTCTAGGTTCTTCCTCTCCTTAACGCTTCCTCTCTTTGCCCCCCCCCCTCTGTTTTCCAGGCAATCATCTATGAAGGGCAAGACAAGAATCCAGAGATGTGCCGTGTGCTGCTGACACATGAAATCATGTGCAGGTGAGCCTGGCTCAGCTCCCTCCTGGAGCAGTGGGAGGGGGTCCTTCCTTCCTTCCTTCCTTCCTTCCTTCCTTCTCTCTCTCTCTCTCTTCTTTCCTTCTCTCTCCCTCTCTCTTTCTTTTTCTCCCTCTCTCCCTCCCTCCCTCCCTCCCTCCCTTTCTCTCTCTCTCCCTTTCTCTCTCTCTCTCCTCTCCCTCCCTCCCTCCCTTTCTCTCTCTCTCTCTCTCTCTCTCTCTCTCTCTCTCTCCTCTCTCTCTTTCTTTCTCTCTCTCCCCTTCTCTCTCTCTCTCTCTCTCTCTCTTTCTTTCTTTCTCTCTTTCTTTCTTTCTACTGCCAACGTATTGGGAACAAAGTCTGCAGGCCTGGCCACCCCATCTCAAAATGTCATCACTCTTTGGAAAGGTGCACAAAAAACCATCCCTTCAAGACAACCTGTTTACAGAGCGCTCATCCTGGTTTGTTCACTGGGAGGTTAGACGGGGTTGGCTTTGCCACGAATATTCATTCTGGTTTGCTCTTGGGGAGGCTAGATGATGCTCCGTCAAACCTAGAGTGATTGAACATTTCCGGTGCATCTTCCCATCTCCTTCCCTGTCTCAAATAGTCTGGTCTTTTGGGAAGCAGTTTCTGAAATTATTTTAATTAGCTGTTGCATTTATATCCTAGCGTTTTTGTTCGAGGAGCTCAAGGTGGCATACATGGTTCTTCCCCTCCTCATTTAATCCACAAGACAACCCTGTGAGGGAGGTTAGGCAGAGAGGTAATGACTGGGTCTCCCAGGTCCTGGTCCAACACTCTTAACCACTAGGCCACACTGGTCCTTGTTGCACAAGACCTGGACAAACACCTTCAACTCTGCAACCTGAATTTGCAAGCTCAATATGTGATTGAATCCCAAGTGAGGAGTCATGATAGAGCCCAGGCTATTTACTTTTATATTATGTAGGTTTTTAATTGCATATGTATTGCTTTACAGCCTAGGGCCATATAGCGAAGGGCAGATTCTGTGCATAAATAAATATAAATAAGTCGTTGATGTGTAATTGGGAGCCAAGCCACATGAAATGGGCTCTGTTATTGTTAATTTCTTTATTACATTTAGATACCACCTTTATCTTTCAATGATCTTAAGGTGGTGTGCATGGTTCTCATCCTATTTCATCCTCCCAACCACCCTCTGAGGTAGGTTAGGCTGAGAGATGGTGACTGAGCTTCATAGCTGAGTCGGGATTCGAACCTGCTCTCCCAGGTCTTAGTCCAACACGCTAGCCGTTTACACCACCTTGGCACTTCAGCCTGGAAGGGAGGGGGACTGAATGTTTGGAAACCCCCTGCATGCAGAAAAGCTAGCACGCAAGGGAGACAAGCCTAACCTGGTTTTCTCCCTGAGGTGCGGCTAGCTTTGAACGTACAGCGATTTCTACAGAGCATCCAAATTTAACTGCCACCTGCAGCTTGGAATGGTACATGAAGGCCTCACCTGCCCTCAGTGCTGCTGAATCTGATTGGCTGCCCAGAGCTTGGTCCCAATTGTGGATCTGTTTCTTGGGAACAGAGCTTCTGGGTGCCTGTAAACAAAACCACATGGTTCTCTGCATGGCACCAAGTAGGCCAGTGAGGGGTGTGTAGTCTAGGGTGAAGCAGTGAGCCTGAGGGCACATTCGGAGACCTAGGGGGGCCACATTCCAGGCTCCCCAACCCAACTTAGAAACAGACATCCAGTCCGGCCCCCCACAAGGTCTGAGGGTACCCCTGCTGAAAAGGTTTGCTGACCCCTGGCCAAGAGGCAATATGAGCTTCATTCACGGCCGAGCGGGGAATTCGAACCCTGATCTCTCCCGGACTCTCAACCGGCACTCTAAGCACTACGCTGCCACCGGCTCACAGCTTAAGCACTGGCGATGTAGCAGGCCTGTCGGACGAGCCAGAGGATCTTAGAAACATAGAGTTGGAAGGGACCCCCAGGGGGGACATCTAGTCTAACCCCGTGCCATGCAGGAA